GCCCCCCGCGCCCTGCATCCCCGTGCGGCGCGCTCCTCCTGCGCTCAGGACCCCAGCCTCGCCCCCGAAGCATGACTCGCGACTTCAAACCTGGAGACCTCATCTTCGCCAAGATGAAAGGTTACCCCCACTGGCCGGCTCGAGTGAGTGATTTGTGGTGCTGCCTTCCTTCTCAGAGGCCTCCTTCGTACCATTTCTTTTTTTTGCGTGTTCTTTCTCTCCCTGGGTTGCCTTTCGTATAATTTGAAACGTGTTCTTTCATTTTAGGTTTTGTCTACTAATCTCCCATGTAATTATGAAAATGCAGGTTTTTCTACCGTCTCTGTATTTCCCCGTGGCTTAGTTTTGACAGTCTTTGACAGGTGTTCTTCATCGGAAGTACTTAGAGGACATGCCAGTTAATATTTCATTGTGGGTGAAATAATCCAGTACACATTTTATGTTTAAAACCTAGTGGAACATTGACGTTTCAGAGAGAGGATATGTGATTAAATTGGATTTATAGGGTTTTTAAAAATACCTGTGATGCTCAATTGATGAGACTTAGGTTTGTCTAATCAAAGAGATTTGGGACTGGATACTCTTGAAAATTTTCCAGTAAGAAGTAGCGAGGAAGGTCCAGAAAATTTATTGCTATGTTTTTATTCATGTCGTTTGCCTTATGACCTTGAAGAAGTTGTTTTACCTTTTTGTTTCCCATAGGCAAAAGAATGAATGGACCAGATCCTGGGTTTCACACCTAGTGATACGGAGCAATCAGTAAGGACCCAGGATGTTTTGTGACATTTGGGAACTGAGACTGTAAATATCTGAGCTCCGTTTTCAGAGAAGAGGTTTGATTAGTTTATGGGGGACACAGGTTGTAAGATTATGGTAGATAGGATCTAAATAATGTTGAGATCCTTTAGATAAAGTAAGCTCAAGATCCTTGAGTAACTGATCTAAAGGTGTAATCTCTAAAGCCTCTTGTTTCTAATTTATTTTCCTTACAAAAGAAACTGCTTAAAAATAGATTCTGTAGTTGTAGTTAGTGTCAGCTGGAAAGAATGGGGGAAATATCCATTAGATAACAGAATCGCCAGACTAAGGAGCTGAGAGTGCTACCCGAGTATAAATTCATCCCCTGATTTCTCCCGTGCAGTATGTAAACATACTCCAGTTTTCATATTTGCTTCCTAAGCTTGCCTTTCTCTAGTTTATCATATCTACTTTTTCGGGGGAGTCTGTCTTGAACATCCTACTCTTAACCCTTGTGTTAGTATTTTGGTATTCTAACCTGGTTTTGTTTTGTTTTAGGAAAATTTTTTGACTCTTTGTATATGCTGTGACTTAGAAATACATTATGAACTTCTTGAAGGCAATGGCCTTAAACTGTATTTTTGTATTTCCATAGTCCTTGGTTATATAACCATATAGTTATAAAACAGTTTTTCATATTAAGAAAAAAAGTTTAGAGGCCTGGGCAGGTTTAAATAGAGTTTTTCTTGAGACTTTATTTTGAGGTGTCATAAAATCTGAGGTTATCTGATAAATCTGTATTCAGATTTCCATGCTACAGTATAGTTAGGAGACAAATGGAAATGCTTGGGAAATTTTCTACCCCGGCACTGTCCTCCACAATCCTGTTAGGTGACTTAAGAGTGTTATCAAAAGTAAAAATAGGACCAGGGATTTAGCTCAGTGGTTCCCCGGTCTGCCTCGCAAGCGCAAGGACCTGAGTTCAATCCCTGGTACCAAAAAGAAGAAAGAAAAAAAAAGTAAAAATAAAGCAGCCTTAGGAGGCCAGAGTATTTTCTGCTGTTAATGTGTTCATTTGGATTGCGGTGGGTACTTTTTATCCTTTTCCTTTTCTCTCTCTCTCTTTTATTTTTTTTTTTTGGAAGCAGCTGAATTTGGTTTTAAACCTTTGTGTCTAAGCATTACATATTCATTTCCTAATTTCTTTTTGTTTTAAAAATTTGAATATTTGGGCCAGGGATTTAGCTCAGTGGTGCTGCCACCTGCCTGGCAAGCACCAGGTCTGGAGTTAGATTCCCAGTACCAAAAAAAAAAAAATGAATCTTTGCTATATAGTGAGCAGAGTGTTTTAAGGTCTCAGCTGTAGAGGTGACACCTTTTGTTCCATTTTTGGATTTACATTTTTTATCTTCACATCCCAAACTTTATTTATTTACTGATAACCATCTCACTGTAGTTTAGGCTGGTGTTTTTTTGTTTTGTTTGTGTTTTTTGTTTTGGTACAGGAGATCTAACTCCAGACCTTGAGCTTGCCCGGCAGGCGGCACCACTGAACTAAATCTCCGGCCCTAGGCTGGTCTTGAACTCACTATGTAGCCCAGGCTGGCCATGAACTAACTCATGGTGATCCTCCTGCCTCAGACTTCTGAGTACAAGTATGCACCACTACACCCACTCCCAATTTGATTAATTTTAAGTCTTGTACATTTTTTGGTCCTTTATCAGTAATAATCTTTTGGACTCAACCTTTTAAAATATAGCTTAATATTTATTAAACTTCACAGATGTCTGGGGATTTAGCTCAGTGGTTCTGCCGCCAGACTTGTAAGCATGAGGACCTGAGTTCGATGCCCAGTACCAAAAAAAAAAAAATTTACAGATGATAAGCATTTGAACAAACTGATTGGTAGCAGAAGCAAACATGAAACAGGTTGACAGAAAATATCCCTTATTTTAAAGATTAACGAGGCTTTTGCAGTTCTTGGGGCCTTCCCACAAAGTTGAAAGGATAAGTATAATTTTCATTATATAGGGGGAGAAATTAAGAGCCTAGAGGTGTTGGGTGGTAGTGCTTTAGTGAAACCTGGGTGTCCCTACAGATGACCAATCCTTATAGTCATCCTTAGTCTTTTTTTTTTTTTCTATGCCATAATGCTTTTAGGGCATAGTAGGCTCTCTTCTGTCAGCTTCATTAACAAAGTCAACCGATTTTTGAGTTAAAATGTTTTTGAAATTGTGAAATTTGGAAGTAGAAATGATAGTTCTGGCTAGATACTACTATTGCTTGATAGTTTGAACAAGGGAGATAAAAGAAAGTAACAAATATAGAAGTATTAGATGTAATACACCTATAATTGGTAGGCTGAGGCAAGAGGAACTCTGAGAGTTCAAGGCCAGCCTGGGCTATATAGTAAGTTTAAGGCCATGTGAATGAACTATCTGGTGAGACTATCTTGGTGCCCCCCCACCCAGGGATTGAAAGGATTATGAAAGAAATAGGTGTCCACATGTAGTTTAACCACGTAAGTAAAGGATCCG